GCTGGCACCATTCGCGTGTAGACAAGCGCGATGGCCGCTTCAAAACGTGATCGGCATCTCGTAAGTGCAAAACCCGCAAGAGTGTCCATTTCAATACCACAGTCTAATTCAAGCTCTATTGTGCGAAGGAAGGTCCCGGGACACATCAGTGTTTTCAAGGATAAGCGGTGAATTTCCATCCAGTGGAAGATATTTACGCAAGTGTTGGTGTAAGGAAAGGGGAAGTGTTGTATAATTACAGGTGTCATTACAACGGGACGAGAAAATCGTCTTCCTTCTTGCACTCGAGATGGACGACTGGGTTTACAAAGTGTATCCTTCGCCTTAATGTACATCATGTGCAACCTCCCTGTGGATTTTGCCTCGCTAGAACGCAGCATATACTCACATTTGTGTGATACTATACTTTTCAAAATCTTCCTAGTATTTATATAGCCACTGCCCCAAAAATCTAGGTAAATAGATATAGAGATAGATAAATACAGACAGTGAGATTGAAAGAAAAATAGATAGATATGCATACAGAGATATACATACATTGATAGATAAAGATACACAAAAAAAGGATTTTTGATATATATCGAAAACTTTACTTATACACTCACATCAGAAGATATATTTTTGGATTTTGAAACTGTCGTCTCTCGGAAAAAAAAACATGGATATAACAGGCTTCCCTGTCTGTTTACTATACAGTAGAATCCTTTATCATTAGCGATATCTAAGATAAGATGTCCTGTTAGGCATGAGAGCAGCTGTACGAAGCCATTGCCTGTTTTTTATCTTATCGTCACGGGATATCATGCTTACGGGTATCGTTAAAAATGAAGTACTTTTATCAGGAAACATAAAATCCAATTCGATGAATGATTTCACACGACAAGCAAGAAAGCAATGGGAATGATAATTGCTGATCATAATTTTCTCACAATAAAATGTTCAAATTTGGAGCTAAGGAGGACAATGTTAGTTGAGAAAGAGAAAGGATAGGAGATAGAGTTGGGTTCGAGTGAGAAAGGGGAGAGGGAGAGAAAGAAAAAAAAAGAGGGAGTAAGGGAGAAAACAGTGAGGGAAGGGAAGAAAGGAAAGAGAGGATAGAGGAAGCAGGAAGAGGAAAGTGAAAGGAAGAGGCGGAAGAAGTGGGAGAAAGTAACGGAATTAACGAGAGAGAGAGAGAGAGAGAGAGAGCGAGAGTGAATGAGAGAGAGAGAGAGAGCAGTAGAAAGGCAGAAAGTGAAAACAATGGTGAATGGATAAAGAAGAAAAGAATAAGAGAAACAGATGAAGAATGGAGAGAGAGCAGTAGAAAGGCAGAAAGTGAAAGCAATGGTGAAGGGATAAAGAAGAAAAAAATAAGAGAAATGGATGAAGAAAGGAGAGAGAAAAGCACAAGAGTAAGAGAGAGCAAGAAATTGTCATCAGTGACTCCGTAGAATAGCATTCTTTTAAAATTTATTTTTCGTTTTTTTCTTTATAACCCAAATCCTCTGCTTCATCACCAGTTCCACCCGTTAACATATCCAGAGTGAACACAAAAAGCAGATATGACTGAATGGAAGTGAAACGTAACGTATCTATACTATCCAGCAATAAGCATAACCACTTAGATAATGTTATAGAATTAATCAACAAATGTAACGTATCTACAGTGTCCGGCTATGCTTATATCCATTCGTGATAATAAACATGGTGTCCTAATTACAGCCCTTTCTTTCCCAGCTTGCTTTGGTCGAGGCCGGAGACGCAGAAAGGTTAGGCCCCGCACTCACCGCCCTCTCCGACGACGCCCGCAAGGCTTTTTTGGGTAAGACGCCGCGTGTGGGTGGCTTGATGTACATGGCATGTCGTGGCGTTTTCGTTTAGTGAATGCGTCCACACATAGATGGCTCCACGAGTACTTGGACCTGCCTTACTCACCTGTTTACCTGTTTCATCATTTATTTATATTCATTGTCGCTACGTTTTCATCGCCTGCTACGTCAGACAATTGTAAATGCCGCCCAAATCTGCTTAGGGTAGAAAATAAACGAATAAATCAGTTGATAAAATAAACATAATAAAGACCCACTAATGTCAACAAAAATGGACTCACGTGTTGCAGAGGGAACCACGGCTTCGTCAGCAGCTGGTGCAGGAAACCGCCCGAAGCTCCCGTTGCACGTGGCGGCAGAAGGAGGCTGGGCGAAGGTGGTCGAGGCGCTCCTCTCCTTTGGCGCTCATGTGAATGCCAAGGGAGGAATCCACGGTAAGGCCAGGGTCGGATTATCCTATAGGCTAGTAGAGGCTGCAGCCTAGGGCCCCTCAAGCTTGGGGGCCCTAAGCTTGAGGGTCTGGGTTATAAAAAAATATATATAACGGTTGTGTTGAAATATAGTAAAATGGTGGTATTTAAAGAATATTTTTGTTGACAAACAAAAGATAGCTATGTTAGTTTATTTAAAGAATTTGCAATAAGTTTACTTCAAGCTATGTAAATGTCGCTAAAATATATCACAAGTAAAAATATTCTGAGGGGGCCCATAATTTCATTAGCCTAGGGGCCCTAAAAGGTCATAATCCGGCCCTGGGTAAAGCGATAGAGAAAGCTGATGGTGTCTCAATGTATTTTCGAATGTGTTGTTGTTTCTGCTGTCCGTGCTGTTATGATTTTAATTCTGACAGCATTATTCTCCCAAATGTTATAATTACTCTAATTACCAGTGTATTAATTAATTGATTAATTATGGGTTCCATCATTAAAGTTTCATCACCTAATTTCCGTTCCTGGTTTGTTTTTCTTGTTTGATATCATTATCTACAGCTGTGGTTCGTCACGGGCCCCTTTAGGAATCTGATAAAAGCTATGGACACCCTAGAAAGATTCACGTGAACACAACTTTGCAGGCAGTGTTGCACTTTATTTATTGAGTTTTTATTTTCTCATACGCGTATGAGATACACAAATTATTATTAGCAATAGCTATAAGATATTAGTGTTATAGATCATCACAACAATATTTCTATCGGTAGATGTATCAGTCATAACTATTAGACAACCGTACTAACTTTAAAGTAAGAAATCTAAAAAGAATTTTTTTAAAATGCAATAAAAAATGAATAACTAAACAGTTATATGTATGTTAATTTTAATCAGACCCTCAGAGACCCTAAAACCTAACCACAAACCTCAGCTTAAGAATCCCAGACCTAGAGTATTACTGATTTCTTCCAAATTCTGTGTTTATCATCATGCTTATACATATTCTCATCCTCATTTTTTCCCTCCGCATTACCTTTATCCTTTCCGTTATCAGCTACCTTTCCTATCTTATTCTCTCTATGTATTTACTCCTTATCACCGGAGGCCGCCGTGGCACAATGGTATCGCTAAGGACAAGGTATCAGTTAGGGCCTTCAGTCAAGCAGATTCACATCTCACCTCAAGTCCAGGATTAAAGAAAAAAGTCATTGACTCGGGTTGGAGCTTACGATAAAACGAAGAAAAGAACCTATCAATTCCAATTCTAATTAATTTTCTTCTCATTTTCACTGTCATCTTCATCCCCCTTCTTATTATCCAAACGAAGGTTTCTAAAAGCACTTTCCTCTCACAGAATCCAAACGAAGGATTCTAAAAGCACTTTCCTCTCACAGAATCCAAACGAAGGATTCTAAAAGCACTTTCCTCTCACAGAATCCAAACGAAGGATTCTAAAAGCACTTTCCTCTCACAGAATCCAAACGAAGGATTCTAAAAGCACTTTCCTCTCACAGAATCCACACCAGTACACTTAGCTGCCTTCGAGGGCCACGAGGCAGTGCTTGAGATCCTCTTGCGGAGGGGTGGAGATGTGAACACCAAGGACAACAGTGGTGAGACAAATAGGACGAAGTGAGAGTTTGTGGAGTCCTGTACTATTACTGATACTGATCTCTTCCAAGTCATATTTCCTGGTCATTATCATTTTCGATATTTAGGTTGTAGACATTTCTTTTTGTACTCATTGTCTGATGTGTTGCTGTTGTTAATTAGTGTCGTTGTTATCTTTACTTTTGATATCATTGTTACCATTGTTTTAATCATTATATTCCTTTGGTAATGTTTTGTTTACTTTATTGTTTTAAAGTCTTATTATTATTAATGTTTAAACAATTTCATTATTCTACATAATATTAATTTTGTAGTATTATCATTGCCTTTATAATTTCATTGTTTGATCTTTGTTATAATTTGTCATTTTCATGTGGACCTTCATCCTTATACCCAATACCCGCGAACGAGAAAACACAGCTATTTTTCTCTCAGGTTCCACTCCGTTGCATTACGCCGCTCGAGGAAGCTGCGTAGCTGTGGTAGAGGCGCTCATTCAGAAGGGGAGCGATGTCAAGGCCACGGAGGGAATTTATGGTAAGGAACTGATAGACTCGTGGAGTCATCAGAGCTCTACGAGAGCGGATCCGAAGCTTTTGTACTGTGACTGTAGTAAACGTACAGTAAGTCAAAGCATTCTTTATCATTTGAGAGAGTGTAGTGTTCTTTAGTCGGTGCTTTTGGCAATAGGACTAGGAAGTCAACAGGGAGGGTTATTATGGATCCATAGACCATCTCATATACTGTGCATTGAAGGTCTTGTTTGAAAGAAGTCCGTATGTGTAGAAGCACTATAGGGAATTGGTCGACCCTTTTCCATCCACCCAGGAGCTCCTTACCAAAGATGTTGTACGGATTTTGCGAGCGTCTGGACGGTTCCTATGGCGATGTCTGAGAAGTCGACTGCTATATTAAGCTTCGCCTTCTGCTGTGGATTGTTGAGGGGGGTTGCTAATGATAAGGCGTTTTTACTGGCCTCAGGGGTCTACTTAACATCTCTTACGCGTCCTGACTGGGTTGGAGTGAGGAGTCGCTGTAGGGGAGCCAGCAGGGATGCAAACCTTAGAATGTCTCTCTGTTGTTGGTCTAGGGATGTTGTTGATACTGATGACCTTTTCTTGAGCCGGGGTGATGCCATCTGCGGTAATGG